TGATCATTTTTGGCACGTTCACGAAGATGCTGGGAAGTCTCATCCAGCAATCTGTGGGGATGCCATCAAGATGTAGGTGATACGCAAACCAATTTCTGCTTCTTGTCTTTCCTAGACAAAACAGTTGAAAAAGCTAGGAAGAGTATATACGAAACCACTTCTGTAAAACCAATATGGATGCAGTTGTTAAAAGCCAAGCTGGAGTCAGGGGTGTCTTCGGTCTTTACCCTTTATTGTAAACCTCCTTATCCTCCAGAAAGCTCTGAACTTTTTGAAAAGAAGGAATAACTCTCAGTGTAGATCTTTTATCCCACTGTATTTTTGCAAATTAGGTTGACAGCCTCATTACTGACCTACCAAAAATGATCAAATATGGTAATGTTCCAGAGGAGATCATTGTTTTGCCTGTTAGTTTTGTTTTATTGGTTTTTGTTTTATAGTGTTAACTGCTGGGGGTCATTTTTTGAGTCCAGCAGTATGTAACCAAGAGCCAGTTTGGTGTAGTGGTTACAGGCATCAGGCTAGACACAGGGAGACTGCAAGTTCTAGTCCCACCTTAGATATGAAGCCAACTGGGTGACTTTGGGTCAGTTACTCCCTCTCAGCTCTAGGAAGCAGGCAAGGGCAATACTTGCGAAAAACCTTGCCAAGAAAACTGCAGGGACTGGTCCAGGCAGTCCCCAGGAGTCAAAAAACTGACCCGAAGGCACACGCACACAGTATGTAGCCACAAAAGAAATGAATACATTTCCAAAACAGAAACAGGAGAGATAAGCTGAGTGTGACTGATCACTAACCCGAATCCTAAATTCCCTGTCCTGTGTCGCTCAGGAACAGCAGTATCATACACTGAGGCCCCAAATGTAACTGGAGGTCTCCAACTGCTGCCCCATATTAGCCCCTGATCTTTTCCGTCCTACCTGAGCTGGAGGTCCAGCCACTCTTTCAGTTCCACCAGTACAAGGACACGATCTTGTGAATAACAGTGACTCCATTTTGTTCCCTGGGAAGAAGAGAGACGGGATGGAAGAAGCTTTGTGGTTGTCACCAGAAATGGAGCTGACAGGAAAGGGATAAACTCTGTCTTTTCTAGCTTGAAGGCATGACTTAAGACTTCTTCCAATCCAACAAAGGAAACCTCAGTCCGTCAGTCCTACCCTCTGCGTTCAGTGCCTTCTATAGGCTCCATACAGCCTATAGAATAGCCAAGAGCCAAGAATAAAAGAAGAGAAGACCACAGCCCCACCACACACTGGGAAACAAATTCCAATTGGACCTCTCTCCTAGCCTTTTGGGCAGGAATGAGCAAAGAAGTATACGCTTGG